CCCAGATGTCCGTCCCCATCACATTATGCCTCTGAGCGCCCAGCCCTAGCTCAGGCCCAAGTTGGTACAGCCCTCCCAGTGAGGACTCTGTTCACTTACGGCCTTGAACTGTCCAGATAGTGGGTAGGCCCTGAGGCCTTAACTCCCACTGTGTGTCAACCGCCAGCTTCCCCTGACCAGTTTCCTCCAGGGTTGCGTTCAGGGGCCCTTCAGACATGGATGCCAGGCCTCCCAGGCCTTGCATCGTTCTGCCTGCAAGTAGCTTCCTGATTCTCCGGCTCTTCTGTGTACTGCCTGCCAGCCTGGACCCGCCTGGACCCACAGTGTGTTTCCCACTCACCTGGAGACCCTGGACCAGTTCTAGCCTGGGCAACCCAGCGTGCTTTTTCCCATTACGTGGCACGTTTCTAACAAGACTTGAATTCAGCTTTGAGGAGAAGGTCCCTTCCAGTTGTTCCTACTTTGGGAATTCTCCCTGAGCTTTAGAATAGTCTTGAGAGTTCTTATGTCTTTATAGCTACTACTGTGCTAATCATTTTATATGTTAAAAATTCCTTGTTCAAATAACTGTGTGGTTTCAATATTCAGATGCAACTCTAACAGACACATTAGATTTTTGTATTGTTTCTCATTTGGGTCTAAAATGAAGGGAGCTGCCATGAACAGTATTAGCTTTATGTGGACATGTATTGTCATCTTTCCTGATAAGTAACCAGGAGTGGAATTGCTGGGTCTTGTCATGTGTGTTTACCATTATGAGAAATTGTCCAACTGTTTTCCAAAATAGTTGTACCATTTTATATCTCTATTGAAAATGCTATTCCACGTGACATCAATGCTTGATAGTTACTCATTACGTTGGGGCAGTCTAGTGGGTATGTACTGTAGTTCTTGATGATGGATAGTGATAAAAATCTTCTCATGTGCTTGTTGATAATTTTGTATATTTGCTTTGTAACATGTCCAAACCTTTTGCACATTTTTATTTCATTTGCCTTATTAAATTGTCATCTTCTTATGAGTCTTAATGGTGTCTTTCAAAAAGAGAAGAAGTTTTAATTTTTATGAAATTCAATTCATCTTTATACTTTTATTTTAGGGTTAGTGACTTTTATATCCTAAAGTATTATAGTCTATTTAAAGTTGTAAAGATTTTAGGTCTGTGATCAACTTTGAGTTTTCTTTTCTTTTTTTTCTTTCAGTATTGAGGATTGAACCCAAGGCCTTAGCACTGAGTTACGTCCCCAGTCCTTTTTAATTCTTTATTTTGAAAGTCTTGATTCCCTATGATGAGTGTTATCATTATGTATATCTAAAATATACCAATAAATGTTTTGCTTAAAAAATAAAAATTTAAAAAGAGAGCCTTGCTAAGTCACTGAGTTGCCAAGCCAAGCTTGAATTTGTGACCCTTCTGCCTCTGCCTCCCAGAACGCTGAGATTACAAGCATGAGTCACAACATCTGGCTTGAGTTAATTTTTCTACATAGTGTGACGTAAGGATCAATGTTCATATCTTTCCATTCAAATACAAGTATCTTCGGGGAATTGGTTCCAGGAATCCCTATGGATACCAAAATCTGAAGATGCTGAAGTCTCTTATATAAAGTTGTGTAGTATTTCCATATAACCAACACACACCCTAAATCAGCTCTGGATTACTTATTATACCTAATAAAATGTAAATGTTATTTAAATAGTTGTTATACTGTATTATTTAGAGAATGACAAAGGGGAAGTCTGTACATGTTTAATGCAGGTGTAAATATTTTTGAAAAATATTTTCAACCCATGTTTGGTTACATCTGGATGCAGAACATGCAGGTTTAGAGGGCCAACTGTGCACAGTTGGCAGCACCATTTGTTGAAAAAAAATCGTTGAATGATTTTGATGTCTGTCAGAATTCAAATGATCATGTGTATGTCTATTTTTTTTGTTTTGTTTTTTGGGGTTTTTTGGTACCCAGGATCAAACTTGGGACCTTGCGTTTGACAGGCAGGTGGTGAAACCACTGAGCTAAATCCCCAGCCCTGTATGTCTATTTTTATAGTATGTTCTATTCCAGTACCCCATTTACTTTATAGTAAATCTTGTGACCAGGTAGCCTATGTCTTCCAACTTCATTCTTATTTTTCAAAATTCTTTAATTACTCAAGGTTCGTTGCGTTTCTAAGTAACCTTTAGTATCAGCGTGTCAATTTCTACAAAATTTCTTGTATGATTTTTGTTGAAAGTACAATAAATCTAGAGGAATTGACATCTTGATAATATTTCGTCTTTCAATCCATGGACATGGTATAAACTCTCCATATATTTAGATATTCTTTACTTTCTCTCAACAGTGTTTTATATTATTCAGCATATAGGTCTTATGTTTTGTCAAATTTATCCCTCAAATTTTCATGTTTTTACATGCACTTGTAAATAATCTTGTTTTTCATTTGTTTGTTTTATGTAGGTTTTTGTTTTTGTTTTGTTATTTTGAGACACGGTCTCACTATGCAGTTCAGGCTGGACTTGAATTGACTATGTAGCCCAGGCTGGCCTTGAACTCATGGCAATCCTCCTGCCTCAGCCTCCTGAGTGCTGGGATTACAGGCATGCACCACCATGCCTGGCAATAGTATTGTTTTAAACTTCATTTTCTAAAATTATTTTTGAAGTATATAGAAGTAAAATAGATGTTTGCATGTTGACTCCACATCCTGGGTCCTTGGGAAATTTATTAGTTCTAGGGTTTTTCTCCTTAGATTTTTCTATGTATAAAATCATACCATCTGTTAGTAAAGACAACTTCATTTCTTTTGTTCTAATCTATAGATATTTATCTTGTCTTGCTTAATTGACAAAGACTGTTGGTATAAGGTTGAATAGAAGAGAGCAGACATCCTTTTCTTATTCCTGATTTTAGGGGGAAAGTGTCCACCGATTTTCACCATTGTGTATGTTAACCTTAAGTTTTTCATATATGCACTTTATGAAGCTAACGAAGTTCTCTTTTATTCCTAATTTTCTGAAACTTTTAAAATCATAACGGAATATGGAATTTGGTCAAATTCTTTTTATGCATCTTTTGAGATGATTATATGGTTTTCTCTTTGTTTGCACTGTTCTATTATTCTTCTTTTTCTTCTTTTCCCACCATCTTTTGGATTGTGTATTTTTAGTATTGTACCTTATCTCTATTGCATGTTTATCTAATTTCTATGTTTTACTATTTTCTTTAATTTTTAGTGTTTACTCAAGCATCTTTAATCACAATCTGCCTTCTAACGATAGCCCTTCAAGATAATGTAAACAGCTTACATAATATACTTCCATCTTCCCCACCTATTCTCTGGGCAATGATTGTCATATACTTTGCTTCCATATAAGTTTTTTTAATCCCCCTTACATAAGTTTTATGTGCCATAGTTTTTGTTTTGTTTTGTGTGTTTGTTTTCTTTGAGACAGGGTCTCACTCTGTAGAGTTCAGGCTGGCCTTGAACTCACTATGTAGCCCAAGCTGGCCTTGAACTCATGGCAATCCTCCTGCCTCAGCCTCCTGAGTACTGGGATCACAGGTATGTGCCACCATGGCTGGCTTCTTTTTTTTTATGTGCCATAATTTTAAATGATTATTAATTTTAGCTTAAATAGATATAAGAAATTAACCAAGAAGTATTTCATATTCATACATTTATTTCTGGTGCTCTCTACTATTTGTATAGATCTTAATTTCCATTTGGTATCTTTTTCCTTCAGGCTGAATAATTTAATATTTCTTGAAGTACAAAATTAGTGGTCACACATTCTCTCAATTCAACCCCAGCACTAACTAATCTACTTTTTGCTTCTCTATATTTGCCTTTTATGGACATTTCATATAAATAGAATCATACAATGTGTGATTTCTGTGAGTGACTGGCTTCTTTCATTGAGTATAATGTTTTTGAGGCCATTCACGATATAGCATCTATTAGTACTGCTTACCTTTGTATTGCTAAATAATATTACATTGTATGGACATGCCACAGATTTATTGACCCATTTATCTGTAGATATTTGGATTGTTTCCACTTTCTGTGGTATAAGGTTTTGTGTGGATATATTGTTTCAACTACCTTTTGTGTACACGTAGAATTGCTAGGTCTAGTGGTAACTGTATGTTTAAGCTCTTGAGGAACTGCTTAACTGGTTTCCATAGTGGCTGCATCCTTTTACATTTCCAGACGATTTCAATTGCTCTACCAGTTTCTGCCACTACTTTTTTGTTTTGTTTTGGGTACCAGGGATCGAACTCGGGACCTTGCGCTTGTGAGGCAGGCAGCAGAACCCCTGAGCTAAATCCCCAGCTGTACAAAAGAGTTTTATCTCTTCTCTCTTAATCTTTATATCTTTTTTCTTTCTTATAGCATTGTACAGGATTTTCAAAACTATGTAAATGGTTGCAGTGATTGTGGGCCTCCTTGTACTAATCTTTTTTGTGTGTGTGGTACCAGGGATCAAACTCAGGTCCTTGCACTTGTGAGGCAGGTGGCAGCACCGAGCTAAATCCCCCGTCCAGCCTTGTACTAATCTTAAGGAGAACGTGTTTTGCCATAATATTTGCTGTAGGTTTTGGGGTATATAACCTTTATCAAATTAAGAAAGTTACATTCTGTTTGCTGAGTTTTTATCATGAGGCAAGAAGGGCAAAGGGTGCTCTAAGGGTCAGTGATTGTTGTAGTTCACAGCAATAGAGATCAACTGCTAATGTTTACTGCTAATATTAGACGTGGCTGAAGTTAGTGAGACTGACTCAGCCACATTCCTGAGCAGAGCCTTCCCCCATCCTAACTTTCCCTCTACTTGGGCACTCCTTGTAGTGCCTATGGGACTAGGGCCAGTAAGCAGGGGTCCTGGGAGGCAGAGCTGGGAAGCTACTTGGACCAGCCTGGTTTTACAGCACTAGAACCCTACTTGGAAACCTGTTTTCTCTGTCCTAAAATTAAGAACTGTCTTCAGAAAGAAACACAACCAATTTCAAATGGACTTTAATCGTTTTTTGTTTTTTTTTTTGCTGCCCAAATACTGTACATGCAGAAGCCATGTGAAGAATATTCTCCTTAAGGGAATTGGCAAGAACATTGTATAAAACAGCCGGCAGTCCCTCCCAGCTGTCCACCTGCCACCCAGGAACCACAGTTTGGAAAGATGCTGCACATAGAAAATGCAGAGAGCACAGATAAAAAAGGCTAATTGCTTCTTATCTAAACAGTGTGCTTGTCAGTCCCTAACTGCTATCTCTCTTTTTGCAAGATGCATTTGGAAATTCTAAAAAAAGGGGTTCCTGCTTTCTGTGAGTTTACATACTAAAGGAGTTGACAGAACTCTCAGCCCTGCTTTCTCTAAGGAAGCAGCCACTGCTTTCTGAGATGATGTCTGGTTAAAGACATTCTGGAAGGAGGAGTGGTTTTAAAAAGCAAAATACTTGGAAGGGAAATCAGTTCCCTCTCTCCTCCCACTGAGAGCATTTCCTTTAAAATTCTCAGATCTTCCAACTCTTCCCATTGTTGTCATGTAGAAGCGGAAACAAGGGACAACCCAGCCTCATCTCCTGGTGGGGACACAGACCCTACTCAGGATGCAGCTGAGGTTGTGACATCACATCAGCACCTTGAAAAGTGTCCTTTGTAGACAACCTTTAATTATTTCTCATCATGATGCAAGAGTAAAATGGAGAGAAAACGATGAAGAGGTGAAAGCAGAGTCTGTTAGGGTTCCCAGAGTTGTTAGAGGCAGCATCTGGGTGTGGGTCAGATAAGGACCTTCACCTTGCTTGGGCACCAGGGGCTGGATGAAACCAGCCTGGGGAACCGTGTGCCAGGTGCACCCAGCTCATACCTCTCAGCAGCTCCAGATCAGACTTCAAAAACCTGGAGGCAACCATGGAGCAACTAGCTAATGCTCTGATTTTGCAGATGAGGAAGCTGAGGCCCAGAAAAGAGAGGAGTCTTGTACAAGATCACAGTTTCTGGCAAAATGGTATAGAGCAGCCATCCTTGTCCAGGTCATTGGCTAAGGGGGCAGATGCTCAGTTGCCCCTGGAATTCCCAGGCCCCTTTTCTGTTATCCAAGTGGTCTGGAATCCAGTCCAAGGGACCCTTCCCAGCATCAGTGTGAACTCCTTGGGAGGCCCAAGGCCCTATCCTTACTGGCCAGGTTTCCAGCCACAGCCCTGGAAAGTTTCTCCAAAGCATTTAGCACTCATGCTTCTCAAAGAGCACCTTTCCAAGCCAGTCTAGGCCCCTGGGAGAGAATGCAAGTTTCTTTCACTCATGTGGCTTCCTGCACAGGCACAGCCATGCTGGGCCTGCAGAAGCCCAAGCTTGGGTTGGGGGTGGGGGAAGTTGCTTTGCTACATGGAAAGATTAAGCCCTTTGTCAGAGAACAAGGTCCCACCCTTGGGCTTTCCAACATCTGAGCTGCATTTGTGCAGCTCCACCAGCAGAGTTGGTGCCCAAGGAGGCCAAGTTGCTCTCTTTGGCATCACTGACATTGCTCTGAGATGCTCAGGCACTCTTTCAAAATAACCCTTTCCGAGGCAGACCAGGCCAGCCCCACCACTATCAGGCTGCTTCTGATTGTATGGGGTTCCCCTGCTCTTCCAACATGATTGTTTTTGCTTTGTCCCAGTCTCCTCTGATGTGGATGAGAAGCAGACTGGAGGGAGAAGGCAGGGATGAGTCTACATTTTCATCTCTTCCCTGATCATCCAGTGAAAGACAATCCAGTAGAGGGAGCAGCATTTTAAAGAACCTCTGTGTATGTCAGGACATTGGAGAAGACAACTGTGAGGAGGAAGAGAAAGGTAGGAGGAGGCAGGGAAGCAGGCCTCTTTTCCACCTCCTGGCAGCCACCGCAGAAATACTGCCAGACAACCTTCTGGCTCTGGACAAAATGCCACCTTTCCCCTCACAGGTGGAGAGCAACTCATCTACAACATCAGGCAAAGGCAGCAGTTTCTTGCCCAGAGTTTGCACAGTGCTGGAAGCAATCAGAGAAACACAGAAGAGCAGCCTTACTAAGGCCCTGCTGCTTTCTGGGTCAAGGGTGATGGGGAATGTGAGGTATCAGGAGCTCTAGAGCCCCAGGGGAAGAGGAGCTCGGCACCCTCTGGGCAGCAGGGCTTGGAGCAGGGCCCTAGGATGCACGTCAGAGCTCCTTAATGCAGTCTAGGCTTGTGCTACATTTCATTTCCAAAGAAGCGTCCTTGAGGCTCTATTGTCTTTAAAAAATAGAGGCTTTTGCTCTCCTCGAGGCTGGCAGTAAAGGAGAGTCCCCTCGTATTTCCCTGGTGGGAGTCAAGCCTCTGGGAGAGCTGGCTTGACCTCAGTGTTCCGGCTGGCAGTGGTTCCAAGAGTGAGCAGCAGTGTGGGGCCCTCTCTCTGGAGCTCTCCTCCATTCGGTCTCAGCCCCATGAAATGCTGGCATCGCAGGGGACCTGCAGGATCCCAAGAGCCTCTCAAGTGCTCCTTTCCTAGTAGAACTGGGTGGCAGAGAGACTGGATGGGGAGTACTTTCAAAGATGGTTCAAATCCCCCTTGTCAAACCAAGGCTTGACCCATTTTCTGGAGCCTGCTTCATACTAAGGGCTCATCGCAGACTTCCCTGCAGGGACGGAGTCTATGAAGAAAGTGGGACAGACTGAGCTGAGCAGAAATGTGAAGACAGATGCTCTGAATCATCCATCACTGTGCCTACCCACAGTCCAGCATCACTGTAGGCCACTTCTGCCTCTCCCACATCACCAATGGATCCTGCCTGCCCGGAGGAGACAGCATGACAAAGAGCCCTGTGCTGGTACCATCACTAGCTTTCATCTGGGGTAAGGGGCATCTGACTTAGCCCCACGGTAAGGAGACTCCGGAGGATCATGTTCCTTCCTTCCCAGCACCCCCTCCCGGTCCAGAGGAGGTCAGAGTCAACTTGTGCACACCTTTCTTCTGGGACAGCTCCAGAGTGGCTTCTCAGCAAGCCTTGCACCCAGGATTCCGAGAAACAGACCCTTAAATCCAGCCACACTCTATCATACACACAGGGCAACCTCACACAACCTTACCCTTGTGGGGAAGGGAATCTACACTAATAACTTATTTAGTGCAAAGGGTTAAAAAGAATAATTCCCCAAAGCCAATTTGCAGGGAATTACCTCCCATTAAGAGGTGGAACAACTGGGCCTGAGATTTATCTCAGTGGTTCCACCACCTGCCTCTCAAGCCCAAGGTCCCGAGTTCGATCCCCAGAACCAAAAAAAAAAGGTGGAACAACCAAGTGGCCCGACTCCCAGGCAGTTTCCGCAGCTGAGGACTGGAGGCAGGTCAGCCTGAGTTTCCAGCACATCAGGCCCCTCCCCTGACTAGAACTTTCCCTGTGCTGACCCCAGGCATAAGGGCATGATGGCCCAAGTCTACACAGGGCAGCCTTCCTGCTAGCAGCTCCCACCTTCTCCCAGGGCCTCCCTGGAACCTTGGGGCATGCGGGTGCTGACAGCCCCATTTCCTGAGGGTGACTCAGTGCCACATGAGCAAGTCTATGCTATCTGTGGATCACTAATACTCCCCCCACTCCAGAAGGTGTATTTTCAGTCCATCCAGAAGGCAACTGCCATAGAGGTAAGCACACCACAAAGAAGAGAGAAAAACACCCTTTTACAAGTGAGTTTCCTCCCTGTACTGTATTTCCCCCACTACGTTAAAGAGTTCAGATCCCTTTGCCCATTTTTAGAACCATGGGAAACATATACATTTTCTAGCAGGAGTGGGGAGAGCACTTTTGCCCAAAGAGGAAACTGGCTGGCCACCTCCTCACCCTCCTCCGTGAATACAGTGGCTCTCTTCTCTGAAAATGCAAGATTGCAGGCTCAGCCTGGAGACAGGAACTGCTGTGCATTTCCCTCCTGCCCTTACCCACTTTTGTCATGGTAGGACCAATGGGTCCTGGCTTCTTCCCCTCATTCCCTTGCGAGAGAGGTCACAGGACTCTGGCTTCCACCCAGGGAGGGTCCTTGCCAGACAAGGAAGCCCTTTGAACTGAGATGGCCGTTCCTCCTCTAGCTTCAGTATGAGTGAAATCTCAGCACTCAGGCCTGAATCCCCTCCACTGCAACCTCAGTAGCTCTCTCTGGCCCAAGTGCATGGGCAAAAGGTATACCAGCACTTGGGGGCAGTGGCTGAGGAGGAGGCAGAAAGACAGCCTTTCCCATACCCTGGCCCTGCCAGCTACCTACTTCCTCCCGACCAGCCATGAACCCAGGGCAACTCTGTCCATCTCCTGGGCAGCCTCTTACCCTTCACCCTAGAGCTGAGGAGGGAGAAGGACAGATGTGGCATTCCTGAGCCAGACATCAGGGTTCCCAGCAGACATCTCCCAGGGTCCAGTCCAGGCATTAATTCTCACAGCAGGGCCTAGCAGTCAACTCAGGGTCCACGTGGCTGGGAGAAGCCTGAGACAAGGACAGGAAATAAGCAGAGGCAGGTGGAGTGCCCAGAGTAGGCCACTTCCCAGAGGGCAGTGGGAGCACATGAGAAGGCAGGGAAGCTCAGAGGGGAAAGTATTGCTTAAACAGAGCTGGTGACTGTGGCAGACCAGAGTCCAGAGCCAGGCTGCCCACGGAGCCAGGAGGCTGAAGCCCAAGTGTATCTGAACTCCAGACAGGGACTCTGGTCTAGAAATGAGCCCCCAGTGAACAGCTTCATGCAGCTAATTCCCAAAGTCAGACAGGATTTTCAACAGTCAGCCTCAGCCCTCCTTATTCTAGCAAACAGCCCTACCCTCAGCACCTCTTACCAAGCCATATGCCCCTAAGGAGGAGCCCAGAGAGGGACGGGCCACTCTCAGGGCCTGGCGAAGGCTGTCTGGTTTGCCAGGCGACATCTCCATAGATCTCCTGGGCCCACCAGGAGAGCTCCTTTGGCATGTCAGAGCAGAGGAGGCTAGAAGGGAGAAAGGAGGTGACAAAGACAAGGGAGCACCTGGCCTTCATGCTGGGCTATCTGGCCTGTACCCGTGGGAACTAAGACCTCCTCGTGTGCTTGCCTGTAGGAAGGAGGTGTGTCTAGCCCAGAGATAAAGCCATCTCAAAGGCCTCTGCTCCCGGGCATCCTCAGCCTCCCCTTGGTCCCTGGCCAGGGTGCTAGATGACTGCTACATGCTGCAAGATGTGTTCAGTGGGGAGAGCTGCTGGGGCAGCTGGAATGGGGGTGTGGGGGCTCCCAGAGGGGCATAGTTGTGGCCAGCTGCAGTGGATGCTACATTCCTCAAAAAGAGCAGCAATGCTGGGAGAGGCAAAGGGTGATACAAAAGACAAGACAGAAAACCAAGCTGAGACCACCAAGAGGCACAGGTGGGGAACACACAGGCTCTGCCCCAGGCAGGGGACCAGGAAGGATCAACCAACCAGCGGCCCCATCTCCCACTTCCACCCCTGGAGACTCCTTGGAGTGAGTTGTGTCCACACAACACTCCTCTTTTCAGTGTGATCCAGAGAGACATGTGGTCACCAGGACTGACTGTACCCAGAGAAACAAACAGATATAATGTGGGGACACACATACACACACACACACACACACACACACACACACACACACACACACAGAGAAACTACAGTCTCCACTGCCAGCTGGGACAAGCCCAGTAGCCAACAGACATGCAGCAGGGTGAAGGGTCCAGAAAGACGCGGAGACTATGTACAGGGGGAAGGTGGGGACCAATAGGCCCCCTGACCACGCCACCACCCAGCCTCTGGTCCTGAGTGAGGTCCTTAGGAGCATGAGGGGCTGGTGGCACTCTCCAGGGAGGACTGGGATAGGCGCCTGGTGAGGGATCCGAGCGTGGAGTCTGCCACAGAGGAGGTGGGGAAGAGTTTGTACCACCCGGTGACCACGGCGCTCAGGTCCAGCTCGTCCAGCATGATCTGGGCCATGCCCATGAAGCACTTGTGATCCATGCGACCATAGTCTCCCCAGACGATCACCTGTCAGCGGGGAGGAAGAGTGAAGAGCTGAGCTGCATCCTCAGCTCACGGGCTGGGCAGTGGGCCCAGGAACCTGTAAGTTTTGCCGGGGATAGGGTAGAGAAAGCCAAACCAATTTTAGGCAACAACTTTCTGAGCACTTAAGACATGCCAGACCCGATGCTGTGCTCGTGACATGCATTATTGCAGTTGCTATAACAAGCCTCACAGATAGGGGTATGGCATGTGACTCTCCTCAGAGAACCATGGCTCAGAAGAGCTCATTAACCCAAAGATACACAGTAACTTGTGGGATTAGAACCCAGGTGTGTTGGATTCCAGGCTTCCCAGCACCCTGGTCAGCTCTGTCCCCAGCAAGGAGCAGACGAAGAGCCCCATGCCTGGGTCATGGCTTCAGCATTGCTGTTGGCTCCCTGGGCCTTGCCTAAACCCTTGGCCCTCACTGGATCTCACCTATGACTCTGGGAATTTTCAAAATTGTATTTTTAAACAGACACCCAACATGGTGCCCCCTGACTGACAGTGCTAGGTTTCTGTAGTTCTTTGGGTTGTACATCCAAGGGCTCTCATCCCAGAACCACCTCAGCCCACAGGGACAACCTGTTATGGTTTGAGTAAGTGTCCTCCCATCATGTGTTAAAGGTTTAGTCCACAGCATGGTGCTCTCGAGAGCTGGTGGGAACCTTTAAGAGGTGGAGCTGATGAGAGTTTTAAACCAGTGGGGGTGCACCCTCAAAGAGGTCCGAGGGGGCCTGCTCTCCTCTTCCCTCTGCTTCCCAGCTGCCATGAGTAAGAAGCTTCCTCTCCTGCTGGCTGCTACTCTATGTCTTGCCTCACCACGGCCCAGAGGCAACAGGACCAAACTGCCCATAGATTAAAACCTCCAAAACTGCACCAAAATATACCTTTCCTCTTTTTAAGCTGATTATCTCAGGTATTTTGTTACAAACAGAAAGATGACTAACAGCCCAAATGAGAAGTCAGGCATCCCAGACCAGCTTGGCTCTCATCTCTTCTCTGCCACTTCTGGCCTCAGGCAAGCCCAACAGCCACCACCACCACTGTTAATACTCAGCAAGTGGTGGCCTGTGTGCCAGGCACTGGGTTAGGCCCTCTACATGCAACCTCTGGATCCATCTCCACCACATACCTCCCATAGCCAGTGAGGGTCAAGCTGGACCCTGAACCTAGGAATGAGCCCAGAGATAGATTCACCACTGTGCTGTCTGCCCACATAAGCTCAGGCTCTTCATCTACAGGAGGGGCATGATGAACCCTCCCTCACAGGATGGTTGCAAAGACCCAGCACAAAGTGTGCCCCAGGTTTTTGTCACTTTCAAGTAGTTGGGATGAGAGTCACCAGGACTTAGGTTCAGTTCTGCTGCACTAGTCCCGTGAAAACTCCAGCCTCAAGCATCTAACAAAAGCCTGGCTCCCAGCTGAAGCACAATGAACATCAGCACCAGGGAGGAGGAAACAGCCGGCAAACAGGTCCCGCTTCCCCCCTCCAGCTGTGCAGCCTGAGGAGCAGTCTCACCATCCCGTAAACCTTGGCTCCCTTATGAATCAACTAGGGACAAGAGCACCTCATGGGGATGTGAAACTAAATAGGCAATGCAAATGAATGCACTTGGTACAGCGCTTGACAGAAGATGAATCATAAATGAAAAACTTAAATGATGACTCCAGTCTTTGAGCGGATGCCCCGCCCAGCTCACCCGGTAACACTCACCTGCAGCACCTTCCCCTGAGGCCCCTCTTCAAAGAGCAGAGCCTGCTGGTACAGAGGGTCACAGGTCTTCTTGGCCACCTTTGTCTTCTTCTTCGCCAAGCAGCAGCCATTCTCCAGCAGATAAGCCTTGATGTATGTGGCTGAGGGGTGAAGGAAAGTATGGGGAGAGTCTACAGCAACAGCTATGACTGCCCATCCCAACTTCCAGGTGACCGTGGAGGCGGGCAGATGAGTAGAATGAGCTGACCAGTGCAGGAGGAGGCGAAAGAAGCCAGAACAAACCTTGTCCCCTCCAGCCTCCCTTGCCCCCACCTCATTCACTGACCTCCAGGCAAGCTGTGACTCTGCTGTCAAGAATACTAATTTAGGCCAATGAGGAGCTGAGGACTTGCTTGATCCAGAGCTCAGCTGGCTACCCTCCCTTCCAGGACCCCATTTCCAAAATCCCTCTCCCAGATGCTCAGCCTCACCTGGGAGGGATTTGGAGCCTGGTTTGGGGGTCAGGCCCCGAGCTTCAATCACTTCCACCTCCAGCTGGCCACCCCGGTCCATGATGGCAATGTGCACATCTCCTGCAAGGGAGAAGAAGAAGAGTCCAGGCAGGGCAGAGCAGGGGCAGGCCAGCCAGCTCCAGAGAGATCACCAGTCTGTGGAGGATGCTGCAGCATCAGTGGAAGGGAGCCAACTGATGGGTCAGAACTGCTTCTGGAAGACCACTTTCAAGAGACCCAGACACACTCTTGATAGGGTACAGTGGGTGACACTCAAGGGGCATGCTTAGGTCACAACAAATGGCTGCCAAACTGCCTCCTAAGTCTGGCTGACTGGAGGCTTCTGTTTCACTGAGGAGAACAGGAAGGGTTGGGTACAGAGCTCCCTGGGTCAGGAAGGCTCTGGGCTCTGGCTCACTATCTTCCCCTACCCCAGCAGTCCACAGCCTTGATATGTCAGACAAATCCTGAAAGAGCATCAGTGTGAAGAGATGCCAAGGTATGGGCCAGCCCAGGACACAAGGCACTACCTGGGTGCGGGGGCCTCCTTGCACCATTGCCAAAGGAGGGAGGGAAGGCTGGCAGCCCCTGGTAGAGAGTAGAACGCTCACGGTGTTCCCTCAAATGGATCGCCCAGTCGGGGCAAGGCCTGTGTGTAGAGTCATGTTATTTGACTTCTGGGTACTCAGCTTTCTTCTTCATGGATTAGCAGAATGTAGAAGTATGTAGTAGTCACTTCCAGGGAGTGGAGAATCATAAGCCAGATCTAGAAAACTTAAATGAGCCAGACTTTGGGTTCAGCCACCCACCGTGGATTCTCTGAGCCATGATACAATTGTTCATATTTGCATACTGGGAGGTCTAGGATTTACTATGTCCCAGGAGACATCCTGGAATTCACTCTCCTCCCTCCAGGATTTCTGATCTTTTCTTGGGAGGGTCGGTCTCATTATGGCATTCCTAACCAAGTTGTCTTGTCTTTCCCCAGTTTTGAACACAAGGGGGCACTACACGCAAATGTTCGCAAAGGTGCCCTGAACTGGAAGTAGCTGGTTCCTCTCACAATTCATAGCTAGGTCTAGGATAGGGAAATGCAGGTTCTCCAGGCCCTTATGAGCCTGAAAGCAAAAGCTAGGAATTAGCCAAATCCAACGTAAAAGCCAGATAAGAGTTGGTCCTCACTCTCTGAGGGTCCTGGTGTGGGCCCTTTCAGAGAAGGGCAGTGCTGTGAAAGGATCCTGCCCTTGCCTTCCTCCATTGCTGTGAGGGTCAAAGATTGAGCACTGTCTAGATGGGGGCTGAGTGGGGAGACATGGATCAGACAATGCCCAGGCCAGACCCGTGGGGAAGGGAGTGGAGGTTGAGGAAGCACCTCTGGGAAGCCAGCCTGGGGAGGAGCCTCTTAAAGCCAACACAGCCAACACCTGAGGCTGAGAGCTCATGAAATGAGCCAGACTGCTACTAAGAGGACCAGGTGGAAGCTTCAAGAAGTCTTTCTAACTGCAAGGAAGAGATGAGAACATTACCAAAAGGCTTTTAGGTACCTTTTACTCAAAACTGTGACTAGTGGTATTTGCAGAGCAAGTGGTGGGTGAGTGTGCAGTGAGGCGAGGGAGGGGCTGTGCTGGGACAGGTGCTTCCGGCAGTGGGCAGACAGGCCAGAGCCCCTTTCTTCCCTGATGATGATGCTCTTTGAACTCCTCAATGGCACAAAAGCCCAAGGAAGGGCTTGCTCCTGCTGCCTGCACCAGGCACACTGAGCCCCCCACTGAGCTTACCCTTCCTGCTATGGCCACCATTATCCCAGGGACTGTCCTCAGGAAGACTCACCCATGGGGGGTGTTGCCAGTGTCTGTCGCCCCACAATCTGGGCTGGTCCCAGCCCGTCCAGGAAATCACTGAACTGGCTCTCAGCTCCGAGCCGGGTGGTGGGGAAGATGAACCTGCAGGAGGAAGCAGAAGGACATGTGAGGGTGTCTGGGCAACCCTGGGGTGGGGCATGGGGTACAGGGGCTCTGGTCCTGGGGCACTGGGCACTCTCTCTGTGCCTCACTTGCTCCTCTGTGCAGTGTGAGGATCCTACTCTGGGGACAAATAACTTTTTTTCTATCCATTGAAGAAAAACATTTTGGTGTTTCCCTAAAGACACTAATATAAATCACACAATGATAGTATTTAATCCTCAAGCCTCAGGAATTCTGAGATGACCCTTAAAACAACAGAAGATGTCCATGCCAGAACCAGAGACAGACCAGACACTTAAATGCCTGGAGCCAGTTCCAAGAACTGAGGTTTGACTGGATCATAAATTTAAAATCTAACTCAATAATGTAAGGTGGTGCCCAAAACAGCAACAGAAACCAAAATAACACAATTACAGGGTTGAGATGAATTGGAAGAGATGGTGGGTGGTCCATGGCTGTGGGGAGTCTGAAAATAGTAACAAGAAAAACTGACAGTGATTGAAAACTGGCCAGGTGCCTACCATGCACTAAATGTTCCATTTACATTATGTCATTTAATCCTTATAACCTTTCTGTGTGGTTGGGACTATTACCCAGTTTTACAGATGAGAAGACAGAGACTCTGGGAGGAAAAAGATTTGCTTTACCTGCAAATAGAGAGAATGCCCAACTCATAGGGTTATGGCAAGGACTAGGCAGATGGTGCAGGAAAAGTTCGGGACAAACAGGGACCAACAAATGGTAGTTACTATTGTTGCTGCTTCTGCTGTCACCACGAGACAAGTGCTGCTTTCTCAGGTCCTCAAGGCTAGATGCTCTGGGTGTAGCCAGCAGAGAAAGGATAGATGAGGGAGGGCTGGCCCAGGCCTGCTCAGGGGCTACAATGGACCAAAGTACTAGGCTCTCCTGGCTGGAGAAATAAAAGGCTGTCCAGGAAAAAAATCCCATTAGGCACTTTGGCCTTAAGCTCCCATGGGCCAATGACAGGCAGAGAGGGGTCTGCTTGTCAGAGAGAGCCTGTGTCTTTACCCCACTAGGCTCAGTCTCTACTCCCCAGCAAGGGGATCCAAGGCATCTGCTTTTCTTGATCATGACCAGCAAGAGCCTGGAATCACATTCTTATAACAATGGGATCTGAGAAGGATAAATAAAGTAGACTTTCTGGATCACAGAATTTGGGGAGCTTTATAAGGAGTGTGTGGAGATTGTGAATAAAAGTTTATATTATAGCCAAATGACCTTAATGCACATACTGACTACACTTCCACTTAATAACTGTGACTGTACACAGGGTTCCTCTCTCTCCAGTACTTCAGTTTCCTCACTTGTAGGTAGAGATAATGGTGGTACCCATGTTCTTCAGGTGGCTGCAATTGTGAACTTGGTTCTGGGGCTGATCCCCTATAAGAATCATGGGCCTGGATGCCCATGGATACTTGGCACATGGTAAGGTACATGAAATGCAAATGGCTACTTTCATTCACAGAAGGTACAGTCAGGCCTCTGTATCCATGGGTTCTGCATCCATGGATTCAACCAAATGCAGATGGAAAATATTAAGGAAAATAAATGCATCTGTTTTTTTTTTTCTTGTCATTATTCTCTAAGCAATAAAGTCTTACAACTATTTCCATTGTGCTGAGTGCTGTAAGTAATCTAGAGGTGATGTGAAGTACACAGGGTCAAATACCATGCCATTTTATATAAGGGTCTTGAGCTTCCTGGGATTTTGTGTTGAAGGTGAGTCTTCATGTCAATCATCCAGAGAGACTAAGGGTCAACTGGATAGTAATGAGAGGCATGATCATTGAATATTAAGTAATGGAGCCACAGAATCCTGAGATTTGATGAAGCAGAAGCAGAGAACCTTACTCATAAACTATAGTTTCACAGATTTAGGAGCGATATTGAGGAATATCTAACCCAGACACTTTCACATTTTTCCTACTGCAACCCAAATGTAAGAAAAAAAATTTAACATCATGATACTAGAGACCTATGAGCTTCTATACATCAAAAACTGAAACAAAAGTTCACAAGGTCATTTGTCCTCGCTACATAGGACAGACCTGAGTTTTCTTTTTCTAATGCTGGTTTTGACTCACTATAGTAATGTGCCTTCCTACCATGAGTCACCACCAATAGTTTGAAAGTCACAGATTTAATCCAATCACTTTCCCTAAACTCCAAGCAAGGCTATTTGTGAAAACCCCACTCATCTAAGCTGGGACAATGGTTTCAGACTTAAAAGGAATTTAGGATCACATTTTCCTTTTCCTCTCTCCTCTGGAGCAGGCCGAGTGTAGGTGGTAGGAGGAGGGAGGCATGGGGTCCCTCCCTGAAGGAATTAAGTGCTCCTGGGCCTCTGAGATGTTCTGATATAAGCAACAGAAGTCCTGGGGCCCAGATACCAGATGACCAGGGGAGGGGACATGAGTGCAGAGGCATAGAGGAACCCAGACATCTCAGCTGGAAACCACATAAGCAGATCTTGCTGCCCTGGAGGGCCGTGTGAGGACAAGGAGGGCAGAGCTGGCCAGGTGCACGCACGTGCCATCGGAGCTGTTGCTGTTTGTGCTCCCATCCGTGGATTCTCGGCTGCCCTGGCGCGTGACTCGACTCCGCATCTCCACTGCAATGCCTGTCTCCGTGCTCCTTCGGATGTTACTCCGCAGCTTCTTGGTGGCCCCTTCTGGGACCCCCAAACCCAAGATGAAAGAGAGAACAAGGTCAGGTCACAGCCAAGGCTTCTCATAGAGTACTGCCAGCATCACCCTCTGGGCAGGGGCAGGCAGGCAACAATAGGACCCGAGGCAGGAGCATGGCCTCGCTGAGCTGAGAGCTGGTCTGCAGCCTGACCCTTGCCCTCCACAGGGCACTGACATAGACAAAGCAGACTAGAAAGATGGCTGGAGACAGAGTTGGGATGGTGAAACTGGGGGTGGCTGGAACAACCAGGCAGAGCCCCAGCCCTGTAGCCCTGGGCCCTTACCCTCCTTTTACCCGGCTCATTATGGTACCTTCCCAAGCTACTTCAGCCCTTGCCCCCAAACTTAAATGTTCTTCTTCCCTCTACATTCTGGAAAATTTGTCTTCCCTGGAGTTCCCAGACTTACTCTCCCTCTTCCAGGTACTCTTGGGACACCATCCCACCCAGACCATATAACCCACCTCTGACGCCTTCCTAGGCCCTATAAAAATCCATGGGAGGTTTGGCCACTCAAACAAACTTGCCTCATCAAGATGGGTCTGAACAGGGAGAGGGACGAGTGTGGCAAGCTGCAGAGGCCTTCAGAGAACAAGACTGTGACTGCTGCTAGCTTGGCTTGATTGACTCTAGGTTTAAGAGAGAGGACAGTAGTGCTCCAGAGGTCATGCAGTGTGTGCCTACCAGTGTCTCTGCATCCTGTTCGGGGACTCTACCCTGGCCTGGCAGAGAACATGGGGCACTTTCCCTCCCTAGCAGCATGCCATGCAGCCTGAGTTTCCATAGCAACCTCCTTAGCATTGCAGTGTGGTCCCTTGAGACAACCTTCGGGGCTGAGGAGGGTAGGTTGGGGGGTTTCAGGGACTTCCTCTGCTGAAGGTTGCCTGCCACGGAAGCTTGTTGGGGAGGAAGTGGTACTCAGTTAGGAACTGTACAAAAGGAACCATTTGCTGTCACTGGTTGGAGGCTCAAGAAAATTAAGAGTGGAGTTGCCTATAGGGATAGGGAGAGGGGTGGTGGAGAGGCCTGGCCTGGGAAGGTGGCACAGCCCCTAGATGCAGTGGGGGCAGGGTATCTGGTTGCCCTGGCAATCTTTTCTCCTGCCACACACAACGGTGTGTTGGGGGGTCTTTATTCCTCCTCCTGCTTTGCCCTGCTTATCTTTCAGAAAGTCTCCACTGGGAGAGGGAAAGCTAAGAAGGCTAGATACCATGAATGGGATGGCGGGGTGGGGGTGGGGCGGTGATGGAACAGGGTTGGGGGTGGTGGGTAATAAGAAATGCCTTCTCTAAAATCAGCTCAGTTTCTGGGATACTGGACTAGTTACCATATTCAAGAATCAATGAGACCATCAATATGTCTGTCTGTCTCTGTGTCTGACTCTGTCTCTCCCTCTCTCTCTCCCTCTCTCTCTCTCTCTCTCTCTCACATACACAGTTACTTTTTAGCTTATACGTATCCCTTTCATGCAGGCATAAGCAGAAACATCTTAGTGCTGATAGTCACATATATGAATATAATAATCACATGCAAAGTCATAAGTAAGTTTATGCAAAGTCACAGTTACAAATGGTCCTACCAGGCCTTCATCATATGTATACAGGATGTACACTGTCATAAGTCAGGTCATATACATGTGTTCTTTACAGCAAAATACTTGGAATTGAATTCATCTACTCAATCACATGCAGTGAAGCAAGCCTACACATGGTGTGTGACCTGCCACACACTTGGACAGCGGAATAAAAATGGTGGCTGTAGGAGGACTCTCCCTGTCCCCAGCTCCTAACAGCCATATTCCCTCTGAGTTAAAAGGCAGATGGGCTGTGGGGGCTGTGAGTCACCCTCCCTTCCTTTCACATCCCTACCACCTCAGTGCACATTCTTAAAGCTTGAGGAAGCTCTGACCCATTTGGAAGGAATTTGCCTTCTTAGATAAGACCTATCCAACCCAACATGAGTCTTTGAATGGGAGTCACAGAATCCTGAAGAGGTAAAAACACTGCACTTGCCCCCTCCACCATTTTACAGATGGAGGAGCTGAGGTTCAGGTACCAAAAGAACTAGGACTACTCCCAGTCTGCTGATGTGCTACGTCTCTTTCCCCTCCCAATGCCTGTCTAGTTGAGATATGACTCAGCAGGGATTAAATTCCGTGTGTTCAAGGGGAGGAGAAAGGTCTAAGAAACTCAGAGAAAAATTCCTTACTAGCTTTATATCTGTCCAGTCTCAGCCCCTTTGGATCCAGGGAATAACATTATGTAGCTTCTCTCTAGAGAACCAAGCCAAATTGCCTGCAATGATTTTGTGGTTCCCAGAGATAGAAAGAGTCCAGGAATCATCCATCTGTCCCATCACATACAAGGGAGGGACAATTGCAGCTGCAGCAACAACCCCATAGAATCTTCTGGAATGGTCTTGATCCCTCTGGCCCAGAGCCTAGAGGACCTTAGAAGGAAGTGGTGCTGTCCTTGGTCCTGAAACCACAAGCTCCATCTGGACAGGAGCTGGGTCAACCCAGGATAGGGTCCTCTCGGGACCCAGCCTGATACCAGGCCAGAATTCACCTGTGTTCTGAGACACTGGATCTCTGACCCATCCTCCTCAATGCTCCCACAACTTAGAGAATGAAATAGCTAGGAGAGAGAGCCTTTTAGCTCCATTTTACGAAAGAGGAAACAGAGACCCAGCAGGAAATGCCTTTCCAGAGTTCCATGGGGAATTCCAGAGCCAGGAGTGGCCCTCTAAAGCACCAGAGTGAGCTTTTGGGAGTCTACTCTAGGATAAAATGAACAATAAACTGGAAGGGGCAGGCAGGCAGGGGAAGTAAAGAAGAGGCTGGTAACAATGGTCAGGCTAGATATGGGGCCTGAAAGAGAAGAGAGGCTTTGAAACAAAAAGGGTTGAGAGCAAGGCTCTAATCAGTGCAGGCTGGAGATAATCTAGGAGAAAAGGGGCTTCTGGGAAGGGTAGACCCACAGCCCAGAAGGCTGGGTCCAGGAGAGGAATTCCTCCAGACTTCACACAGCCCAGCCCTGCAGGGAACTGAGCTGTCCCATATGGGGCCAGCAGGAGGGCAGCAAGGGGCATGCTTCTGGGATCTGTTCCCAGAATGGTGATTGTACGGCCAACACCCATAGTGAGTCAGCCCCATACATCCCTCTGGTGCCAGACTCCCACCCAGGAGGGGGCTGAAGCTGGGACATGGACATCCTCAAGGCTTGGGAGAAAAAACAAAACAAAAACACAGAAAAGAAATATGGATAGGAAAGGAGTGTGCTACAAGGAAGAGGCAGAGGTATAAAGGCCAGAGAATTCACTTCTCTTTTGGCTGTACTATGTTACCATGTGTAAAACAGCATCAAAACTTTACCGAGTATCTCCCATGTGCCAGGCAAGAGGATGGGTGCTTTCACACATGTGGCCTCATTTAATCCCCTGGGCAACTCTGCAAGGCATGTATTATTGTCCTCATTTTCCAAATAAGGAGCAGGCTCAGGTGATCCCTGCCTAGATCACCCTGCTAGTAAATAACAGAGTGTGGCTTTGAAGGCCAGCCTGAGGTCATTCTCCAGGAAAGTGCCTTCTCCCCAGGGTTTAGATACCTGATGGATAAATGAGTACATTGAACTGGATGACCTCAAGAGGCCCTTCCTACTCTGACATTCAGCAATTAGATGATTCACAGGGACCTGCAGATGGAAGTGCATCTGGGTGATTCCCCTAGCCCCAGGCTCTAGGCCTTTGGCCATGCCCTGACATAATCATGGAGACCAGGGATCCAAAAGGCCTATCATCATTCACCTCTTCCTAAGGCAAAAGGTCTTCCTGGCATCTGCTCCCATCTCTCCCTGTGGTCTGTGAAGACTGGGTAGATCACCATAGTGTTTACAGTGACTCAGGCCCCTGCCTTGGCCGTGGAAGACTATCCCTCCTAATTTAGGGTACAAGAACCATTCAGGTCTGAAGCTAGATTCCTGTGTATGGTCTCTAAGGGCCAGACCTCTGGGGTCCAAGAGCTCTACAACCTCCTAATCTTAATCCTATCCCTAGTCTCTCAGTCCAACCCAAGCTCTCCTTGTCCTAGCCCAAGTCCTGGATCCTCAATCCTCAGTTCCCTGAATTCCTGGTCCTAGGCCTATACCATCTGCCAAGGCACTAATAACCTCAAGCCCCTTCCCCATCTAGCCTCTCCTAGCCAGGATGCATATCACAGCTTAATTGCTGGAAAAGACCATCTCATGTGCTCCTGTTGAGGGCTTTGTAAAAATCTATTTTAAGTCCTGGAAAAGTCCCCCACCCAGCCCCAACTGGGAGTCTTGATGAGCATTCTCCCCGGATCCTCTAGTGCCCCCACCTCCTCACCACCCCCATCCAGCTGCCTATTTGAAGGTTTCATGGGGAAGTTGTTACTCTGAACAAAATAAGCAGGAAGAGATTTTAAACAAAACCAGATGGTGTCTGGGCCAGTGCCACAAAATGAGGGGGTCTTGGTGTGGAAAGCTGGCTCCTCTGTGATGTGGGGTCCACGGGTGGCTGTATGTGACAAGGTTGGTCCCCCAGCAGTCTGAGTATAGCTGGGTTTCTGCAACTTGATGTCTGAGAAAGTATATGGTGTTTATGAGGATGCAGCTGTTAAGGTTGGTGAGCATGGCTTTGTCATGGGTGACATGCTTGAGATCTAGGTCTGCATGTCTATACTCAGAGGATTGTTTGTTTGGGTTTTAGTTGTGACCATGTACAGTATGAATGAGAATTACTGTATTGTGCTTTTCTGGCAATATGAGTGGCTTACCTGGACAACTGAGCATCTATTTACATGACTGTATCTTTGTATGTCTGTCATGTGACTCTATTATGAATATGTGTGGCTAAGTAACTGCATTTGTGTAGCTGTTTGTATAAAGGAGACTCAGAAATGACAGGTGAGAATGAATCTTGTGGATGGGTGTGTGTAAAACTGTGGTGTCACTTAGCATGGTGCCAGGAACACAGGGCTGTTTAATAAATAACTACTGTTTATCAAAGACTTATTTATAAGTCTGTGTGTGGAGTCAGAGAGTAAAATACAGAGCCTGAACTAGGAAACCCAACTGCTAGGCTTGATGCCAGGTTACACCACTCCTAGCTGTGCAGTCTGGGGCATGTGACTTCCCTTCTCTGTGCTCCAGTGCCTGCCTAGAGCTACCCAGCCACATACTAGACCCACAGCAGTGCAGTGCCTTGTAAATGGGAAGCCCTATAGAAGTGGGTGTGGGCATGGGAGGGCACATCCGGTTTGGTCACTGGGTACTCATTGAAAAGGGTTCCCCACCCCTGCCCCATGGTGCCCCATGCTCCCTCACCAGGTTGAGGGAGCTGGAGTGTGCTCTTGCTCCACTGGGTCAGGCCCACGATGGCCACCATCTTGGCGCCCAGGCTGCTACGTCGCTTCTTGGCAGTGGTGGTCCCGGTCCCACCCCCAGTTTGCTGGGATCCGCAGATTTCACCGCTGATGCTGGAGCTCCGAACCACGTTCCTGGAGGCCCCAGCCGAGGCTGGACTGGGCTCCCCGTTAAACATGGTCCCTGGGGCTGCAGGGCCTCAGGCAACTCTGAAGATGGGTGGGAGACAAAAGGATTTCACATCAGACTCCAGAGACCTGACCTCAGCCCCACCACTTCCTAGCTGTATGATCTTGGGCAAGTCACTTGGCCTCTTCAAGGCTAAGGATTAAATACACAAATAAATCTCAAAAGTGTGCACAGGGCCTGGCTCAATAAATGAGACTATCCTTGTAAGTACGTGGCTATGAAGAGCTGGCAGGTGATCTGGTTTGGTGATGAAGACCAAGGCGATGGCGTCGGATGTTCTGGGCTTCAATTCCAAAGGCCCCCACATACCTGCTGAGAAATGTTGTGACCAAACATCTTGGCGTGTCAGTGAACAGCTCACCAAAATGAGAAATAAATGCCCTTACCTCCTAGGATTACTATAAGGACTAAATGAAATAGTGCAGGTAAAGTGCTGAGAACAGTGTCCACGCATAGAAAGGCTATTGAGCATGTGCTACAGATGACTACTTTCATAGCAAATAACAAAACAGCCTCCAGCCTGTGAAGACTGTGGAAGGGGTCCTCCTTGGGGGAAGAGGGATGGTCCAGAAAAGCCTAAAGCAGCAGGCAAAAATCACCCTTCACTGCACTGCCGAGAGGCAGCCACCATCAGCATTTTAATCCAGTTCCCTCCAATCTCCTTTCTGTGCACTCAAAACAATAATTGGACTCATACTGTAAATGCAATTTTTATATCCTGGTATTTCTCATCTAACATTTTATCATAAGCATTTCCCAATGTCATTAACACTTTGTATAAATATTTTAATGCCACCATAATAATCTGTTGTATAGAGATAGCATAATTGGCTTACATATTTCAATAGTTACCTCTTGAATCAGCTCCAACTCTCTCTCTCTCTTCTCTTTCAAATAAACACAAAAACAAACATGTTTCTACACTGGTTTGTATGCTGATATCCTTAGGACTGGCTCCTAGAAATGGGCTACCTGAGTGGGAGAATGTGGGTACTTCTGGGAGCTTCCCAACCATCCAGATCCCTTCCTGCTGCCTGGCAGAGGACTGGTTTCATCAGGTGCCACCCTGTCCCTTGTTTTGGAGGCACATCCTCATGAGTTTAGGGACATCCGTGAATGGCTTTCTCCTTAGCAACTGTCACTTGCTTAAAGGTGGGAAGGTGACTAAGTCAGCTCAGTTCAGCATAAGGGAATGATCTGGATTCCATGCTTACAGGAGAGATTGGAGGGAGGGCCTCTCTTTCTGTCCCCCTCTCTCTCCCTTCCTCCCTCCAAGACCCCATCCAATACAGGGAGCCCAGCCTCAGGGTGCAGCCAGTGCACAGACCCAAAGGAAGTCAGGCTGTACTTGGAGCCTGCCTTTCTCTGTTCTTCCACTTCTAAGAGACAATGTATTTTCTATTGCTTAAGCCAGTTTGAACCAGAGTTCTCAGCTATATCCAAAAGCATCCCTCCTGACACTGAGGGTGTAAATGTTTTTTTTTTCTTTTTATCCTTGGACTGCATTGCCAAATTCTATCCAGAGTATAGAGATTTACTCTCCTCATTAGCTGTGTTCAACAAATATTTAATTTCCTAAAATTCCAAGGCCAATACTGAGTGCCAGGATACTGTATAGTAGTGAGCCAAGGAAACTGGGTGCTGCCCTCCCAAGGCCTTCAGTCCAGGAGGGAAGACAGACAGTAAATAACCAATTATACACTTTAATATTTAATGGTGGTTATGTAAGTGCTAGGGAAGAGGAGGGCAAAGGGTGCTGAGATCCCTGCAGGAAGGGACCATAGGCGTCCACCGCCCTGTTTTGTCCAGAGGATAGGGTCTCCAGGCATCGGCTTCTATAACGCAGCTGCAAACCCCTGTGCTACAGTTGGTCTCCTTGGCTCAGGCAGAAGACAGGAAAGCCACTGCTCCGGCTGCTCAGTAACTTCCTGGCTCTGTCCCAGCCCCAAGCTCTCTTCCTGGGGCAGCTATACAAGCCAGGGCTCAGAGCACTTGGTTGGACCTTCTGCCTCAGGCCTACCCCCTGAGGGAGTCTGACTTTTTAAAAGGACGTAGAAAGGGGAGGGAATATGGGGTTGGGAGAGGCACCACTCTGGCTGCTGAGAAATATAGTTCCCAGATTGCTGAGACTGGTCACCTGGTCTGTCCGCCAACATGGCACCTGCAGCCTGGCAAATTAAGGCTGACAGGGCAGATGAGTCAGAGCCCTCCTTTACCTTCTTTGTAGCTTTCTAGATAGCTCTCACTCACCCTGTGATGTGATCAGAGCCCCGGATTGTATTTCTCCACTCCCCCATCAATCATGCAGCTAATGGAAAGTCCCTCTGGACTTCGGCCTATGATGATGATCTTTTCTCTTGAGTTTCCAATTCTAGTGCCAGTTTGTGTGGGTTTTTGGGTATCTGCATGGTGTTTTGGTGGAAGGTGGAACAGGGCTTATCTGATACTGTGAATCTGCCATGGTATCAGTGTAATTTGCTCTTTATAGCACTTTGAGAGGTATGTAGGTATCTTCACAAGGTAGATGAGAAAACTGAGTCTCAGAGAAGTGTCCTACTCAAACAGGAAGTGGCTAGACTTGAACACAAACACAGTCTCCCGTTTGCTGATGTACATGCTCAGCAGCCCCTGCCCCTTCAACCCAGAGCTCATCCCAAGATGTGTGTCCATCCCTCAAGCTCTGGCTTTGCCCTGGGCCCCTGGGCTCTTTGAAAAAACTGGAAGGAAAGTGCCTATGATGAGAAAATCCACTCACTCTGGCCTAAATTCCCCAGCTGGCTGAACAGCTAAGGTGCAGAACCCCCTGACTCTCAAGACCTTAACTGGCGCACAAGCCCTGGGGTGAGAAGGGGTGAGGGACAGAATTCCTGACCCTGCCAACCTGGAAGCTCATGTTTCCTCATGAATAATGAATGAAACTGACAAGCACATGGTTTGACATCCAGAACTCTGCATTACACAGAGCTATTTTCTCATCTTCAGGCACCCAGGGATCACCTAAGAGACCTGGAGAACTTGAGGGAGCCCAGCCTACAGTCTATAGGCCACCTCCAGGGGTCAGGAGGAGCCAGACCCACAGCACTAGACCCAAGGACCTAGCCCCTGGCCTCTGCTCCAGGAGTCCTTATCGGGGAACCTGGGAGAGGTAGGAATCATGACATGGGATTAGAATGTGAACAGACTCTTCACAGGCACTTCTCTGGGCCTTGGCTTCTTCATCTGTGTTAACTAAAGGAGTCAGAGTAGGTCCTTTGGGAAAGTCCTTTAGACTGGGAGAGCTGAGTCTGTGACTTCGAGCTGGAGTGGGGTGGGAGGGCCCTCAGATCTGGGGCTCTCGCTGCTTATCTGGCAGCCAGTCTAGTTCAGGAAGGCCATGCCAGAGATCTAGACAGAGATGGCTACCCTAGACCTACAAGGATAGCTGGATAGCAGCTCCTGAACCACCAGACCACAGGGATGGGGAAGGAGAAGTGGCAGAGATGGGGGCAGACTGCTGAGGAGCCCCAAGAGGACACACAACACAGCACGTCACATACCGGTGGTTCTAAATAACTGGTAAATGAACCAAGTCCTTTCCATGAAAATCAATTCAGTAATTCCTCTGCTTCTGAGCAAGACTATCTCTTTCCCGGACTAGTTCATGGCAGCTAGAGAAGGGAACCCTCCTATGATCTCACCAAGTCACAGGGAGCTCACTCTGAAGTTCTCCCTGCTGAGTCCTGTCTACTACTACAGCAGCAGAAGACCCTGCCTCTCATTTTTCCTGAGAAAACAGAAACTACTGCCTCCTTCCCGCCACAATTCCAGAGACACCACCCAAGCTTTCCAGGAATAAACAGAGCGTTTTCTTTCCGGCCCTCAACATCTGGCCTCTCCCTGGGATCTTTCTGCCCCAAGGGTTCTGCAAACTTCTCCTCAATCCTGACAACAGCAGACCCCAGGCCCTGCCAGGGGCCCTGGATCCCTAGGTTCCTCTGACCCTGTGTTTAACCAGCTAATGAACCTTTTTTGATAGTCAATGAAGAACCCAAAAGCCTAACATGAACCCAGTCACTCATACTTCCAACAGGAAGGACCAACGAATCTATCACAGGTTGTTGGACGATTGGGCAAGAAGAGGGTGTGAATAATTGAAGCTCCTACCTCCCTTTCCCATCTTCTACCCACAGCAGACATCATTAATTCATCTCTTTCCCCAGAGGACAGATTCAACCTCAGGATCACTCTAAACACAGTGCTCCGAAACCAGCTGATGAGAATCAGCTCAGGAGCTGAAACTGACTTGCCATCTCTATTCCAGCCTGGACTTTTCATCCCGCTGAGCAGGAAATCAGGGCCCAGAATAGGAAAGAGACATATCCACGGCCACAAAGAATGCTGGGGACAAAACCGGAGTTCCAACCTGAGACCCCTAACTCCCAGACCCCACATCACCTGATAAGACTTGTTAGCTCCTCCCTCCCCACCCCTTACCTGAAATAAAACCCAAACTCACCAAATTGATGAATCTGACTGTAGAGTTCTGCATCACAGGGGCTGTGCCCCTTCCAGCAGCACACACCCTAGGGCATTTGCACAAGGCTTCACTGAACTTCTGCTGAGACAGCAGTCTCCAGAAAGGAGGTGAAGGCAATCAGGACAGACTCTCAGGAGGAGGTGATGTGATAAAAAGATCTGGAAGGGAAGAGTTGAGCTCAGAGGAAGAGCTAATGAAGACGTATGTCCTCAAGGGCTTCCTGTAGCTTGTGGAGTAAAAAGACAAAGTAGCTGTGGGACCTGGAGCAAATCACTTTAGCTTGTTCAATCAACCAACGAAATTGAACTCCTGGGTTCCTTAATCTGGCTTTAGGCACTTTAATGTCAAACTGCTGAAGTCCTGTAACCACAATTTTTAGGGCTGGGGATGTAGCTCAGTAATAGAGCCCATGCCTAATATGCATGAGGCCCCTGGTTTGATCCCCAGCACAGAGATGGGTGGGGAGGAGAGACAGAGAGAGAGAGAGACAGAGAGACAGACAGAGACAGACAGACAGAGGCAAAGACAGAGACAAAGACAGAGATTTGCTAAGGAGTTCTGGGCCCTGTTCTTTCTTCCTCCAACCTCTGACTACTGGGGTCTGGGTCCCTCCCTAGATAATGTGACATGCCAGAAGTCAGAATGGGAGGAACTCGTGACTCTAGTCCTAGCCATGTGACCCCGAGAAAGTCATTCAGCTTCTCTGACTTCCATTTCCTCTCTAAGATGAGTCTGATCACTACTTGCATTCTGCCCAATCCTCCTGGCTGGACTGGAGATCAGATGAACCAATGAGGAGCAGGAGAGCAGAGTGAGAAAAACATGTGCTCTGGAGGCAGACAGACTTAGGTGCAAATCTAGATCTGCCTTTCACAAGCCAGTGATGGAGCTTCTATATCAAACCCTGTGAGCTTACATTTATCACTAAGTGGAGATGACAACATGTGCTTTAGGAGACATTTTAGATAAAATATCATAGAATGAAGATTGCTACGTGCTTAATGAGCAATTGGTCAATTATCCAGTTATTACTCATAATGGTGCTTTGTACATGGTAAGCAATTGTCCAGGTGTTAGTTTCAATTCACCAGGTGCATCCACCTCAGGGGTGTCCCAGAAGTTACAGGATTACCTCCCACTGCAGCCCTGGGTACCCCAAGATGAGTGTGGATCAAGGTTCCTATACCTCTTTGTTGATGTGAAAGGGGCCCAGGAAGCTATACCAGCTTCAGCTCTTAAGCCTTTGCAGCATGCTGGGCCTGGCATTTGAAGTCCCCACCTCAACTCTGATCCAGCACTGGGACTGCCCACCACACCACCCTGTGCCAATCTGGGCCCACACGAGAGGCCAGTTCCTGCCTCCACAGAAGGGGAAGGGGGACGCTGGGCTCTAGCCTTTCCTTTCCCCACTTAGGGAGATGTGGGTGGTAATAGGGGCTGGGTATGTAGTGGGGGAAGCAGGCAGGACAAGAAAACATACCCCACCAGAGTGGGGAGCACATATTAGCTTCTCTCCTTGCTGTGCAGACCTCTGTCTCCAGAGATGATCCTAAACACACACACACACACACACACACACACACACACACACAGAGAGCACCGAATTTCAAATAATGTGATTACACATAATATGGATCCACACAGATGATATACACAATCATCACGTGTTTACAGATATGCACACATGCCCCCAAGATACTCATCCATACAAAGGCACACAGAAGCACACATGGACAGTCAAGACAGCCACAGGCACTCAGATTCATACTTGTGTACACACCTGCACATACTCACACCCGCCTCCATTCCCTCCTCTTGGCCCCTGCCTAGCCTGAGGGACAAGGAGAGCCCCACCACTGTAGTGGCCAGGGAAGTGGGAAGCGTCTTACCGCAAGCTGTGAGCTCTCCAGGCTGAGGCACAAACACCAGCTCGGAGCAGGTGCTTGTGTGAGCTTGAATACAAACACACTCATGCAATCCAGCTCCCATTCCCATCCTCCTGGCCCCCATGCCTGCCAGACCAGACAAAGGAGTGCATTGGTGGGGTTTGTGGTGAGGAGATGAGAAAGCTGGCAGGGAGCAAGTGCTGTCACCATGGCTACCGGCTGACCCACTTCTCCTCCACCTAGGCAGGCCCACCCAGCCCAGGCAAGGTGGGGACAGGCAGCTTTGGGCAGGGTGGACCCTCTGCCACCATGCACAGGAAAGGGAGGATCTCTGAGGGTGTGGTGAGGGAGACTGAGCACCATCTAGGCTGGGTCCCATGTAGGAAGGCATTATAGACTTAGACATCCCTTGAGGGGAGGATACTGAAGACATTGCCCATGCAAGACCTAACTTCTCCCAGTATCCAGGCCTCTGGCCTCAGGGAGCCACACAGGACTAGATCCATCCTCAGTCACAGCCCTCATGCAGTGCTGATGTGGGGTGGTCAGCTCTGTGTCTCCAGGCCTGAGGACTCAGCATACTCAAGAGTGAAGCAGACCCGGGGCTGGATGAGCCCTGTCTCTGGTTTGAAGGAAGGTTCTGGAAGGTGAGACCTATCCCCTACCTCCAACGGGACTGCTAGGGGCAGGCTGTGCTTTCTTCTCTGGACAGAGCTGTCCTGTGCCTTCACGTAGCCAGGGGTCTCCCAAGAACATGGCTATGTGTCACCCTTTGAACCAAGGACTTAGAGGAACAACACAGCTGTCAGAGTCCTCAGTCTTGGGAGGAGACAACCTATAAAGCAAGATGAATTGCTTGTGCTTGACACTGTCAGAGCTCCCTATTTCCTTCATGACAAAGGAGAAGCCTCTTACCAAGGCTCTGGGCCCATATAAACCAGTTTCTGACTTGTTCTCCCAGGTCCTGCCTCTTGTTCCTGCTCTGTATTATGGTCACACTGCTTTCTTTTCATTCCTAGAAAGTACCACTTTGTCTTGTCTGCCTGGAATGCTCTTATCCAGCCTGTCCCTACCCCCATGCTCTATGGACACCACTTATCTCTCTGCCCTGCCTGGCTAACCCCTACTTTTCACTCAGTCCTAGTCTGAAGGTCATTTCTTCCCAGGCAAGGTTAGTCCCCTATCATGCTCCTCTAGAGCTATATACTGTCCTTGTGTGATGCCTGCTCCCAACAAAATGCTGAGATCTTACCCCCTCACACCCAAAATGTGGCCTTGTTTGAAAATAGGATCATTAAAGATGTAATAGATTGAGATCACACTGGATTAGGGCTCATTCCTAATTCAACCAGTGTCCTTCAGGAAGATAGCCACGAAACGGGAGAATGTCAAGTGACAACAGGGGCAGAGATTGGAGCCATTGCAGCAACAAGCCAAGAGATGCCAAGGATGACCAGTTGCCACCAGAAGCTAGGGGAGCAGCCCGGAGCAGATTCTCCCTCACAGCCTCCAGAAAGAAACAACCTTTCAGATACCTTGATCTCAGACTTCCAGACTCCAGAACTGTGAGGGAACAAATTTCTGTCATTTTAAGCCATCCAGTTCATGGTACTTTGTTACAGCAGCTCTGGGAAATAGACACTGTTGTTCTAACTTGCTCAGTGCCTGTCTCCCATACCCCATCCCATGGTTGTGAGCTGCTCAAAATTAGGAATCGTGTTGTCTTCACCTCAAATCCCTGGTACCTGGCATTGGAGTAGGGCTACTGCAGGGCTCTGTAAATATCTGTTGAATGAATGAATGGCAATCAAAAACATTAAATTAAGTGTTTGTAGCTGGAGAGAATTATGAGTCATTTTTATTTTCTTCATGGCATATTGTGTTTTCTAAAGTTACTACTTTAGAAAGTATATTAATGTTATAATGAAAAAAGCAGCAATATTTTTCTTTTCAAAACATACACTAAAATAACAGACTTTACCACCAGTGTGTGTTCATGAACAGGGAAAAGTTCTCTGCTACATGCTTGAAAACTGCTTTGTATTGATTAATTGACTTCTCCTTATGTTACTAGAGTGCCTTCCAGAGCCAGACTTACACAGCTTGAGCTCTGGGGCCCCTCAGGGTATGGATTCCAGGTGGGAAGGGTCCAGGCAGGACACACATGCTTCTCAGCCATCTCCACCATTCAGCGCCTTTCCTAGCTCAGTGGTTCTGCCCAGATGTGGCACCTGAGAAGACCACCCACTCTGGCCAAAATCCATACCCAAATAGAAGCAAAAACCTGTCCTCGATGAGCACATTGCCCAGTGCTTCTTGAACTGGAATGTGTACACAAATCACTGGGGATCTTGTTGAAATGCAGCTCTTTATTCCAAGGGTCATAGGTGGATTCTGAGGTCCTGTACTTCTCACAAGCTATTAGTAATATGCTGCTAGTCCATGGACCACCCAAGGCACTGAGAAGCAAAGAAAAAATACTTTGGTCATTCTGTGGAGGGAGTGAACACTTCAGCATAGGAGAGACCAAAGAAGGTGTCAGAAGGTGTGCTACAGAGCACCTTGGAAGACAGGTGGGATTTGAAGAGGCAGAAGTGGCTCTACAGGAACTACTGGGGAGGAGCAGACAGCAAATGGTGTGTTCAGAGGCTAGGGAACAGAGCTGAGCAGTGAGAACAGCAGGAAAAGAAACTGTGCAAGAGGAGACTGGAAAGGGAGGCTGGGAGGAGCCAATGAAGGGCTCTGAATGTAGGGCTAAGAAGTGTGGCTTTAATCCTGCAGGAGTGAAATCTGACAAGATTTAGATGTAATGTTTTACAGAGATCAATCTGACACCAAGTGCAGAATCAGAAGAAAGCTGACAGCAGGAAGAAAATCTGAGAGGCTGCTAGATCCATGCAGGTAGGAGGGTCTGCACTGCTTCAGATCTGACTGTGTGCAGAGGAAAGGGTGGTCAGGGATCCAGGTGGAATTAGAGGATTGCTGAAGGAACAAAGTTGGAGAGAGGGGAAAAATAGAATCCAAGGTGATTTATAGAAAGGATGGAGCTATGAAGTTCCAATGACAGAGCCTGGGGTCCCAGGGGACAACCTTTGCTTAAGGGGAAGGTGATCCCCATCTTAGTCACAAGTCTGAGATAGCACTGCAGCTTCTGCATGGAGGTGTAGGGCAGGTAAGCAGATCCACTGAGCTCAGGAGAGGTAGGTGAGTGGGTAGGTATTGAGTGTGTTCCTGGAGGGAAAAGTGGGGTGTAGAAAGGAAGAGGAATACCC